CTGTCATTCAGATGTGTTTGTAATTATGAAGTACGAAATACAACAACAATGAAAGTAAAAATGAAATAATACTTTTTTTTCCTTTCTTATCTTTTTCGATTTATCAAGGTTGTTGTTATTATTATCATGGTTGCTACATCATTATTATTTATTTATATGGCATTTTTATTTTGTCTTGATTCAGTAATAAAACGAAATAAAAAATCAACAAGTACAACTCGACGATCAAGACCATATGGAAGACAAATAAGTGATGCTCAAGTACATAATCCAACACAAGAATGTGTATTTAGTGAACCAGCTGAAGGTGAATTACAACATAATCGACGTCCATCACTTGTATTACATTTAGTTTCACATGAGCAAGCAAAATGGAGAAAACAAGTATGAAATTATTTTTTAATATTTTTTTTTAGATTTGAGTTGATTTTAATTTCATTTAGGTCCAACAACAACAAGAATCTGTGTATACTAAACATGAATTGCTTAATTGATTTTTCCTATTTTTCTTTTTTACCGTTTGTGTCTTCTCATTCCATGTACCTCATGTCTTCAGCCATTTTATTAAAAACTAAACAGTTTGACAGTTACATTTTATAATGAATTTACTTTAGATAAAATAAATGAATACATATATTTTATTTTTTTATAGGTAGTTTATCTAATTTAATATGAAGAGAGGAGACAATTCGGAAAGACTTATAATGATGTTCGAGAAAAAACCGGTCTCCATTAAAAAATCTATCGTCCATTCAATAAAAAATGGCCAAAGGATCTTTATGTAAACTTAAGCACTTTTTATATACCATGTTTAACAATAGGTTTTTTTTACGGCTGTGCTATTTTATGCATAGGATTCGATGTTATGATAACAGCAAGTGATCGAAAAAGTAATTTGATAAAATGTTCGTTCATGTTTCAGTCTCTTAAAGGAGACTACAGAAATTTCAAAAAAAAATTGAGTTTCAATTAAAATTCTGTTTTATTTTCGAATAAAGGTTCAACATTTCTGGAGGACTTCTGATTGAAGAACTATGAACCAACCTTTTAGGGACTCAAAAGTTAAGTTTGAATGAACGAAATTGACGATTTTTGGATAGAATTAAAGACAAGATTGCTGCCTACAAATTGATACAAGAACCAAGAGTTTTAGAATAATTATTCAGGAATCATCAAGCTCATTTTTCAAATCTTTTTTTAATAAAAATCGAGAAAATTGTCTAAATTGACACGGTATACCTGGCTAAAATACTCACTGTTAACAAATGACTTGCAGTGAACAAACCATTCATTAGTATACCAGTTTATAGAGAAACGTTTTTTTTGTTTATCTAAAAAATTATCTAGAATATCAAGATTTGCTCTTATTGAATATTCTTAACATCAAATAAAAATTTAAATTATGACTAGATGGCATTCGAACTTCATTCGATTACGAAATGCGGTGTGAAGTGACGAATGCTGGTAATTGAAAACCATCGATATTTCAAAAAAACCACGAATAACCGTTATGATCAGCTGTCCTTACAACTATAATGGATAAAATTCGCTTATCGAATAGACGAAAGGCTAATGTTTTATCTTGTTTTCATTTTAATTATCGCGAAACTTGGGAAACGACGAAGTCCACAAAAAGGAGAGGATTGTTATAAAGCAAAATCGTCCGTATCCTCCACCAGAAAGGGTGTGGGTGTGAATGCGGGTGTCGCTGTTGGTGTGAGGCGTGGGTGTGGGATGTGGGTATCGAATAGATAACACTCACACCCATACCAACACCACATCAGAATCTGGACCCACATCCACACCTAGATACAGGGTGTCACAAAAGTCACCTACGAAAAAAAAAAATTTGAATATCTCACTTACGGCTCGAACAAACGAGCTGTTTTTTTTGTTAATGATAGAGGCCTGTTTAAAGTTTATATCCATAAAGACATGCCTAGAGAGGCCCTTTGTTAAGTATCACTATTGACCTCAACAAAAAAATTTTACTTTTTCAGAGATAGGAAAAGAAAACAATATACTTAACAAAGGATCTCTCTATACATGCCTTTATGAATATAAAGCTTCAACGTATTCCTATCATGTATAAAAAAATTCCTTCTCACTATCGACTACTTCCAAAGAATACTCGTCGTCACCGATCATGTTGCCCTTTTCGTTGACGAGAAGAGAAAAAGAAAGAAAAAAGTCCCTAGTGTACCTTCATATATTTTTTTCTTTCCTTCTCATTCCGTAATCTTGTAACAACAAAAAAAAGCGCATAGACAAGTAAAACACAGTCATGCTGACAGAGATACTCATTGCCATATTGCTCGTTTTGGTCATTTCTTATGGCTGGCACATTCATCGTGCCTATAGTTTCTTCATTCGTCTTGGCATTCCTGGTCCGCCACCAAAATTCTTTTTTGGTAACTTCTTGGATATTCTCAAAAGCAACCGTCTTTCGTTATCCATACAAAACTGGACCGAAAAATACGGTCAAATATTTGGCTATTTTGAAGGACACACGCCCATTCTTGTCATATCCGATCCTGATATTTTGCAAAATGTATTCATTAAATCATTTTCCAATTTTCATTCACGTCGTGACATGCTGTTTGTAGACGCCCACGCAAAAAACGTTCATCTACTCACTGCCACTGGTCTCCGTTGGAAACGACAACGATTTGTTATTAATCCAACATTTTCATCATTGAAACTCAAACAAATGTTTCCATTGATCAATCGAAGTGTTGAAACTCTCATGACAAAGATGGCCGAACAGTATCAATACGGTCAATCATTTGATATCTTCACTTTTCTTAAACGTTTTACAATGGATACAATTTGGTCGTGCGGATTTGGTCTCGATACTGATATGCAGAATAATCCAAACAATCCATATCTTCTCGAATCACAACGAGTCTTAACCAAAGAATGTTGTGTAACCAAACTGGTAGTTTGTTTTACTTTTATGACTGAACTCAAATGGCTCTGGTATCGACTCTCTCAATATGATGGGATGGTTCGATACTGGCTTCGTCATTATCTACCAGTAACACAAAGACTTGTCACCGAGGACCCACAAATATGGATTGAAAAACAAGCAGAAGAATTAATACAAAAACGCATCGAATTGGGCAATACAAATCGAATAGATCTGTTACAATTGATGCTTGAATCAGTTTCGGACCGTGACTTCATTGAAGTAAGCAGTTATTTTCTTCTTTGATGAAGTACTAACTTTATCAGAGATTGTTTTAAATAGAGTGCAGAGAAGTCCTAGATATTATCATTGTTCTGAAACCTTGATAAGATCTAGCAAATTCTCTTGCTCCTTCTTAAAATGTCTCATATTATCATCGTTCTTCATCGCATTGTATTCTACAATCAGTTTGATGACAACGTCTCATCTATATACTGGTCCGCCTCATTTGAGAATCATTCGATCAAAGATAAACTAAGATAGGCAGACCATAACTTGCAGGTCAGTTAATCCAATTCCCATTTTTCAACATTAAACTGAGAGAACATAACGGCTTGATCTTGAAATGCTCTGATTTTCTCCATTTCGACAGGATCAGCGAACGTCAGTTGTTGCCAATGTTAATATGGATAGCGAGACGCCCCTGGTTCGAAAACTGACTAAAGATGAAAGTTTGGCAAACATCTATCTTTTCAGTGAGTAACTTTGTTTATTTGTCTATCTTTTCTTTTTTACGATTTGGATTTTTCAAGTGGTGGCTGGCTATGAAACGACAAGTACGGCACTTGCCTATGTTTCTTATGTCCTAGCGACTCATCCAAACGAACAACGCAAATTACAAGAGCATATCGATACTCATTTCAATCCAATAACCGAACATGACAATCCAAGCTATGAAGTGATTGCAAAAATGGATTATTTGGATATGTTTATTCGTGAAACTCTTCGTATGTATCCAATTGTACCGAGCATCATTCATCGGCAGAACGTTGAAGAGTTTCATATCAGCAATATAGGCACCATTCCAGCTGGTACTATCATCGCTGCTAATATGTATAGTTTACATTTTGATCCTGATCTTTGGGGCCCAGTTGATCCCCATACGTTCTATCCGGAACGATTTGTTACCAAGCGACATCCGCTTGCATGGATTCCATTCGGTGTTGGACCGCGAAATTGTGTTGGAATGCGATTTGCACTGATAGAAATGAAAGTAGCACTCATTCGACTTTTGAAAATTTATTCAGTTGTTGGGTGTGACGAACAAACCCATCAGTCAATAGACGAACTTGAAGAATTTTTTGTTATTTCACCTAAAAAAGTCATTATCCGTTTGCAGCGCCGAGACGAGTAGACATTATGAACTCGGATCACATTTTTTTATTTCGTTAATCGATAATAAATAACCATTAGATGCAATATCGGAAAAACTGGGTTTGAGTGTGGGTGTGAAGGATGGTTTGGCGAACACCTACACCCATACCTCGGCCTGACTCTACCCAACTCAAGAAAATTTTTCTCTTGGACCGAGCGGATTGGTTCACAAAAATTGCTGAGTTGAGCGGGTTCCATGTTTTTATTCTTTTTCTTTACTTTTCACCAAATTTTCATGCCTGTTTTAGGTAACACAAATTATTAAAAAAGTTTTGCAATAGAAATAATATGCGCGTTTCAAATACGGGTAGTATGATAAACCATAATAATTGCTTAAATCGATTCTGTCTTGCGTCCACACTTAATGTTCTATAGTGTATAAATTACTTGAATTAACGTGAGAATTTGATCGACAGAAAGTGTGTCAAAACAATAAATCATCATCGAGAGTAGGAGCCACATAAAAAACTTTATCAAACTATTTAACTGAGATTAACGAGTGAATTCATGAGAGGCATATCATTTTCTGAAAAAAAAAATCAATTCTGTGGGTTTTGGACCATTTTTTCTGAACGAAAGCTTTGCTCAATTTCAATCATCCAGTGTGGATAGCACGCAGTCACAAATAATCTGTGAACAGGAGGAAAAAACGTTTTGATACCGACAATTTGGAGAACTTCTCTGATCCAAAGTTTTTTCTTCTCGTCACAGACATTTTTCGATTTCGAGATGCCTCAGTCGTCAAAATCGAAAAAAGTTTTCACTTAGGAATATGGTGCGTTTTTCATGGGTTTAATCCAATAACAAAATTCTGAGTCATGAAACATCGAGTTATGTATGCATAAGAATCATTATTGAGTTCAAATACCTTACGACGTATTTGGTTTTATTCGTTTCGATCATCAAACTATTCAACTTATATTATATTGATTTTATTTCAATTTCGACAACCTGCGCTAATAAAACTTATCATGACAGCCAATTATTTGCTTCCAAATACATTGGTAATTACCGAAATGATCCTCAAATTCTATTGGCAAAAAAATATCTTTGTGTATGAAACTTCCTTCAGCTTCGGGTCTGGCCAAAGTAAAGCTGAATCGGACCGGGCGAACTTAGATCATGCATAGGCCACTTTGGAATGGATCGACT